ATCCAGGTGTGCACCAATCATTGTCCTTATTAAAAACATGTTTTCATGATTGCATAAATGCCACAGTATTACATATCAAGCCAATGATTAGCCAGATAATCTAAATCAGGCAATATACATATGCACACATATAGCGTGTGCAGTTACAAGCACACAGATATTGACGGTAGAAAGGATATGAGTGTACAGCACACAGTATGGTTGTTCTAGCATAGGCATATGCAGATATAAACTAGCAACTAACAAGTTGCAAGATAAAATGAACTCTACCACAATTCTTCAACCACAAACCTTTGAATTTCTTCAGTTATTGCAGATAGTGGAGAAAATAGGTAAACAGGATCTACATTTCCCTGCACACCAATCCCAGTACCCAGTCGATCCCTTCCATCTGCCATATCCACTGTCCAATCAAGTCCAATGACATCAACTCCAGTTCCTTTCATACGCTCAAGAAGGCCGCCATTTCCATTAATGTAGAGAACAAGTGGTGTCTTAGGGCATTTGCTCCTTACTGTATCCACCATCTGCAATTTGTAACAAGGACCAGAAATATAACATCTAAAGCAATATCAGGTCAGAATGGAGAGAGAGAAAAAAAAAATTAAAGATTGTAAATAACAGCAAACGTTCCTATTGAATTTTCCTCACAGAAGGAACGAGGGAAGATGGGATCAAAACTACCGGTAATCATGCTTCTGGTCCCCAAATAAAGTGCATTTCAGTATTCAAACAGTAGAAATATTAAAAAATTATAGTAGCTAACTTTAAATGACATTCTCAAAAAAACCACTAGCAAGACAATAAGTTATGTTTCATGCAGCAAACCAAGGTCATCAATGCAGGTGAATGCACCGTCAAAAGATAAACCATTGCAGATATGATGTAATTTTTGTGCATTCAAGTTGTTAAATCTATAGATCAGTGTGGTTTCCAAATTGGATCAAAATGGGCCAGTAAGTAAATAATAAGGTTATTTTCGAGCATTACACGAGAAGCTTTCGAGATATGCAATGATTTGAACCCAAAATGATCTGCGGGCAGCTAC